ATAAGCAGATGCCGGTGTCTTTTGCAATATACGCAGATTTTGAGGCCATTACTGAAAAGGTACAGGGATGCCAACCAAGCGGTGGGAAATCATATACTGACAAATATCAAAAGCATACGGCATGTAGTTATGGTTATAAAGTAGTCTGTTGTTACGATGATAAATATACAAAACCAGTGCAGATTTATCGGGGAGAGGATTCCATTAAAAGGTTTAGGCAAGAGATGCTTAAAGAGGTACAGTATTGTCAAAAGACTATTGCTACCAAATTCAAGAAACCATTGAAGATGAGTGATAAGGACGAGCAGCATTATCAAGAAGCAAGTGAGTGTCATATTTGCAACCAGCCACATACTGATAAAGATATTCAGGTTAGGGACCATTGCCATATCACAGTTAATTACAAGGGATCAGCTCACCAAGATTGTAATCTCAAATTAAGAATTAACCCATAAGCGTTTAAGATCCCTGTTATATTTCATAATCTCCGTTTGTATGATTCCCATTTTATTATGCAGGAGATCGGTAATATTGGAAAAGAGCATGACTTGGAAATTAATTGTATTCCAAACAATATGGAAAAATACATGGCATTTATGCCTGGCAAGCATCTTGTCTTTCTTGTTAGTTTCCAATTTAAGGCTAGTAGTTTGGAACGATTGGCTGCTAATCTTCAAGAAGAAGCCTATATATATACATCAAAGGTGTTCAAAGGTGAGAAATTTAATCTCATGAAACAAAAGGGGGTTTATCCTTATGATTATATGGATAGTGTTGAGCGGTTTAATGACCAACAGCTACCATCAAAAGATGAGTTTTATAGTATTCTTTCTGATGAGGGGATTAGAGATGAGCAATATACACACGCTCAGAAAGTATGGGATATATTTAAGTTAAAGAATATGGGTGAATATCATGATCTGTATCTGAAGTCTGATAATTTGCTGTTGGCGGACATATTCGAAAACTTTAGAAAAACATGTCTGCAGTATTATAAAGTGATCGATCCCGCACATTATTTTACTAGTCCTGGATTGAGTTGGGATGCAATGTTGAAAATGACAGGAATCAAACTTGAGCTTATGACAGATGTGGATATGTTCCAGTTCATTGAAAAATCGCCCCATGTAAGGTAATCCAAGAGAGTCTTGGATTCCGGATTCCACGCTGTGGATTCCGGATTCCATGCCTGTGGATTCCGGATTTCACATCCATGGATTCCGGATTCCATAAGTGGCTGGATTCCAGATTTCAAAATTCTATTTTCTGGTTTTCAACGTTTCCTTTGTACTTTGTTTTCACCAAAAAAGCTTGTTCTTTTACACGAAGTGTACATTGTCTTATATAAAATATAAGTATAAAATATAATTCTTGGCGTTACCCGAGAGGATTATGAATATAGGAGCGGTTTCTGAAGTCCACTGAGTCCACATCGTTGAAGAAATACTAACGAGGAAGGGCTATTCTTATTCTAATAATAACAACGGCGTCAACAATAACAAAAGAGGTACACATTGCCAAAATCAGTGCTTTTCAGGTTCAAACATAATTCGTCCCCGAATTGTTTAATTGCCACACAGAAATGTAAAACTTCAGTTACAGCTTACCAACAAATAGCGTGAAGATAGTCCAATTACTATACTACAAGCTACGCAGGCAACGGAAACATTTATCTTAGAATAAACCGTGTCGTTCTCCGTCCTGATAAACTAACTCCCGGCAGTCTTATCGGGACGGATACTTCTCCCTCATCCTCTGCAGTTGGTGGTGCAGTTTCATTCTCATTGTCATCATCGTCACCGTAGTCCCCATTAGCAATTCGACAGAGCCTCTTATCCTCCTCTGTTGTTAAAATGATGTCTGATCCATCGGAAGAAAAGTCGAGTACTCGGGTTAGAATGCACTTGGGGGAATTCCCATTACAGACATCACCGTAGGTGTATGTTAGTGAATCACTTGTTTGGTTTAGCCACTTTAGGGATACTCTTTGCTGCACAAAATTTCCACCATTCACTTCTATTTGTACATCCTCCAGAAGAACTGCTAGCCAGAAGGGTGAGATCTCTCTTCTACGGTTGTGTCTTACTGCCAATATGTCGTCTTTCTGGTAAATGGTTTGCACCCGTACAGCCGTACTCCGCAATGCCACATTAGCATCCACAACTTGGCAGGCTCTTGTTACGTCTTCGCTTTCCTCTAATGAGGCTGTGATGGTAGTGGGACACATACTAAGGGCATAAGGAAGGGTGCCAGTTAGCTCTTTCGTTTTTGAGCGGACATTTTCCTGTCTTACGCCTCTTCCATACTCCTTAGCAAATTCTCGCATCACAGTTTCTCGCCTTGTGTCTTCTTCTTTGCTACCTGTTCCTTCAGTGATTGCTGACAGCTTGTTTGGTCGCGTCTTGATGTTTGGGGGTTCACCTTTGATAATTTTCTCCGGATAATATGAATTGGGCCCAGTGAAATATGAGAAATCCTTCTGGTAAATGCGCAGCATATCGTCTTCCACGCAGCGCGCTCTTCTGTAAGCGTAGTTAGCCACTGTAGGCATGTCGTGGTCTGCTCGCATTCCTTTGAAACAGCATTCCACGCCCAAAGTTGTCATACTTTCGAAACAGATCCTGTCCAGAAGGTGACTATGCCCAATCTCCGTTAGCGTGTTGGTAAGGCTGGTCAGCGATTCTAGCACTATGAGGAAGGACTGTCGGGTGCATCGAGGTATGGTCATGTCGGGACCGTTGGTATTTCGCTTGCCCGTCCTCTCCAGGGCTTCCTGTTCGTGGTTAGAGAGAAATGCAACCAACTCCTCGACAGATTTCACATGATCTTCAAATGTACGTGGTAGGTCTTCTTCTTTGGCTTTCTTGTCGAGTCGGAACACGTTTGCGTATTGGGCCATCTTACTTTGCAGGGGGATCAGTCCCTTTGCTGACGTCAACATTCTTATTGCTACGTTACCGGTACCGCATACGAAAACAGTGTTTCGATATACGCATAAAGCAGTAGGCTTGTTCCATCGACTTTGGACACCATCACGATGGCCTGCAGTTTCTCCACACACTTTTCTTAGGGTTTCTTTACCCCCAAGCATCTCTTCTTCCTTCAAACTGAACAGTGCGTGTTCTTTGCTGGAGGACAAGAACACGGTTCCACCATCTGTCACTGCAATACCCATGAGGCCTGGAATATTCGAAATTGTTCTCAGTTTCAATCGTCCTCTCACTTGACAAAGATGAATATATGAACCTTTCCCGTCTCCAACTAACAAGTATTGCTCGTCAGGTGTTAAGGCTAATGAAGTTAATAAACTAGATCGATCAAAACAAAACAATTCATTTAACTGGCCGACGCAGTTAGTTTCCTCATCGTCTACAACACCAGAAATTGAAAAAATCTTGCCAAGACCAACGTCTGACACAAACAATTCAACGCTACCCTTTGCAGACGCACATATGGCAAATGGTGACACCAGATCCGGTACATTACCTTCAGAAATAAGGGAAAGATCGTGTACATGGACTTTACGGATACGTCTACCGGCGCAATCTTCTTCCTCACTCTGGCTTTCTTCGGCGCTCCCTTGTACAATCTGGGAAGCGTGACAGAAAAGCGTTCGCAAATTGACTACTGTAACTCTTCCGTTTCCTTGGTCACAAACGTACAGCTTCCCGCTCTCTTTCACTGAAAACCAGCTGGGTTTCTAAATCTGGCCTTGTTGCCATATCCATTAGTGTGCCCGGGCTCACCACCACCAGCGATTAATGTGACATTTGCTGGACAGTGCATGTCAACCATGAGGACTGCATGGAGACGTCTATCGGTAATAAACAGCCTGCTATGCTTTGGGGAGAATGCCAATCCTACCGGGTAGCTTAAAAGAGAGGCCCCGTTCTTTTTCCAGTGCTTGAATTCCAGTTCTGGAACTAATGTTGTGCTCACTCTTTCATCTGGAATGGAATCTTGAATCGCTTTCCGGTGAATCTCCACTGCTGTTTCTACATCCATCCGATCTTTGTTTCGAACTGCTTTCAATGAAACTGATTTCTTGATGTCTTCGATTCTCTACGTAGCACCAAAAGCAGCCTTACATTCACTTGATTCACTAGGTATCCATCAATGTCAATCCAATGCCAAAACTCTGCAGAACGTACTGACTTGATGTTGTGTGGGCAGTCACGAATAGGGACTTGGTAGGGGTACTTCGCCCTGTCTACTAGCATGGAATTCATAAAGCTCTTTTGCTTGGGCTCGCAGTCAGTGGCCCAAACCAATAGGAACAGTCGAGTGAAACACGCGTGAACATGCCTGTTGCGCGTCCTTCCGACATGAGATTTTCACGCAATAGACGCTAAAGGAAAAGAAGAGGCCCTGGCCATGGAACCATCACAACAGAGTGGATTCCAGCAACCTGGATTCTGGATTACAATGCTTGGATTCCGGATTCCAAAGCCGTGGATTCCGGATTCCACAGACCAAAATTACCTGGATTCCGGATTCCGGATTACCTTACATGGGGCGAGAAAAAGGTATGCGCGGTGGGATTTCATATATTAGTCACCGATATGGGAAGGCTAATAATAAGTACATGAAAGATTATGATTCCTCTGGTCCTTCTATATAAGTTTATAATGTGCCTAGATATGAATAACCTTTATGGAGCAAGCATGTCTCAATGCCTACCAACAGCCGGTTTTAAATGGTTGAACCAAAAGAAAATAGGCAAGTTTAATTTAGGTACTTATACAGCAGACAGTAAAAAGGGTCTGATATTGGAAGTTGATCTTCAGTATCCAAGCAACCTCCATAATTTGCATAATGATTACCCCCTTGGGGCTGAAAAGATGAAAGTTACTAAAGATATGCTCTCTCCTTATTGCAAAGATATTCAGGAGAAATATGGTATCAGTATTGGGCAAGTAGATAAACTAATCCCAACGCTGTCTGATAAGAAAAATTATGTATTACATTATCGCAATCTACAACTGTATTTATCTCTTGGTTTGAAGCTTAAAAAAGTGCACCGCGTATTGGAATTTGATCAGTCTCCATGGTTGAAGCAGTACATTGATTTTAATACACAGAAACGAACAAATGCTAAAAATGCTTTCGAAAAGGACGTTCTTAAACTCCTAAATAATAGCATCTATGGAAAAACATGCGAAAACTTACGCAAGAGAGTTGACGTGAGGTTAGTAGCAGATCAAAAGAAGTTGTCTAAATTAGTATCCAAGCCAACATTTGTTAACAGTAAAATATTCAATGAAAACTTAGTAGCGGTACATAAGATAAAAGAATGTTTGACTCTAGACAGACCGGCCTACATCGGAATGTGTATTCTTGATTTAAGCAAAGTACTAATGTACGACTTTCATTATAATTATATTAAACAAAAATATAGTGACAGAGCTAAATTATTGTTTACAGACACAGATAGCTTATGTTATAAGATCCAGACAGAGGACGCTTACAAAGACGTTTGGATTGATAGAGATAAGTTTGACAACAGTGATTATGATAAAAGTAGTTCATTCTTTGATGCTAATAATAAGAAAGTTATTGGTAAGATGAAGCATGAGGCAGCCGGTGTTCCCATTACTGAATTTGTTGGGCTTCGCAGTAAGATGTATTCTTACGTCAAAGAAGGCGGTAAAAACGAAAAAACAGCAAAGGGTATTAGAAAGTATGTCATATGAAAAGATATCACTCATCAGAACTACAAGGATACTCTTTTGAATAGAAAACATATGTACCACACTATGAATATTATCTGAAGCAATAATCATCAACTTGAAAGTTTTGAGCTTAACAAAGTGTGATTGTCTTGCTTTGATGATAAACGATATATTCATAGTGATGGGATTACAAGTTATGCCCACGGGCACTATACCACGAGACAGTCATATTAGATTGTTCTAGAAGGCAGTCATACGATCTCTTAACCGGTCGCTACCGGTCGTAACCGGTATCAATCGTATATAAAGAGAAGTTGAAAGTCAAGAGTTAGATCGATATTAAAAATGGCTGCGAGTGAAAGTGATATTCGTTTGAAGATATGGATTTAGGAGATGTGAATGACACTGGTTATGAAAGTGATTACGACATAGAGCTCATCGATGGGTTCTATCACCAAAACATAGCCTTTATGAATGAAAAGGTTCGGTTATTTGCTGACTACTGGATGAAATTGTATTCAAATTGTTGTCTACAAATAGATTATGCTGTTGAACGGCTAAATGAAAACAAACCAGAGGAAGCTGAAGCCTTTCTTCAAGATTGGCCTGATACAACAGGATCGCCAAATGTTCCGCAACTAGTATTTGAAAATCCCCCAGAACTAAAGCGAAAGAAAAGATCGGCGGCTGAACTTGAGTGTGATGGTCTGGAGCTTATTCACCAAATGAAAAACAATTGCACCAGAGGCAAGAGAGTTGTTTTTGACGTTCCAAATGTACTAGAAGATAATATTTCTTTACCTGAATATGAAACTCGCATTCAAGAGTGTGAAAAATGTTTTAAGAGTGTTGAGAATTATGTTATTCAAAATGCTTTTATGTATGATTCGTGGTTGTGTAAAGCGTGCGAAAAGTTTCAACAGGAGAAGAATATGAAGCGAGTTTCCGGTAACTTTGACGATTGGGTTGGTTTGAGATGA